GCATGAGTTTAAGCCACCGGGTCTGGGACCCGAACCGCGGTCGACTACATGGGAGTCCAGCGACATAGCCATTACGCTAACTCATCCCCCTTGGAGGGTGATTTCTTGCTTTCTGTCTCTCTGTCTCTCTCTGTCTTTCTGGCAAGCGCATGCTGGGGTGAGCCAGTTGAGCTAGGTGAACATCTGTGTGTGACCCTGTCCCTGACTTCTGGCTTGCCATCCTATTCTAGGTCTCCACTGCTGAAGAAGTTGTGATCAAAGGCACCGGCCACGCCACAGTCTGCCCCCGCAGCCCCTGCCCACATTCCCATGTCCTGCCTCTGCTCGCTTTGGGCCCAGCTCTATACAGCTTCCAGGCGCCCTGCGGGAGGTGAACAGGATCCTGGGTGCCTGGCGTGCCCCATCATGCCCGCAGCCTAGCTCCCCTCCCGCTCTGGCACTATGTTGGCCAACTCCACCGCCAACACCTCTCCAGGCAATGGCTCTGTCCCCCCTTGCCCAGACTACCGGGCCACCCACCTCCTGCACTTGGTGGTCTACAGCCTGGTGCTGGCAGCGGGGCTCCCGCTCAACGCCCTGGCCCTCTGGGTCTTCCTGCGCGCCCTGCGCATACACTCAGTGGTGAGCGTGTACATGTGCAACCTGGCGGCCAGCGACCTGCTCTTCACGCTCTCGCTGCCCGTGCGCCTCTCCTATTACGCGCTGCACTACTGGCCCTTCCCAGACCTCCTGTGCCAGACGGCGGGGGCCATCTTCCAGATGAACATGTATGGGAGCTGCATCTTCCTGACGCTCATCAACGTGGACCGCTACATAGCCATCGTGCACCCGCTGCGGCTGCGCCACCTGCGGCGACCGTATGTGGCGCGGCTGCTGTGCCTCGGCGTGTGGGGGCTCATCCTGGTGTTCGCCGTGCCCGCCGCCCACGTGCACCGGCCCTCGCCCTGCAGCTACAGGGACTTGGAGGTGCGCCTGTGCTTCGAGAGTTTCAGCGACGAGCTGTGGAAGGGCAGACTGCTGCCGCTCGTGCTGCTGGCCGAGGGGCTGGGCTTCCTGCTGCCCCTGGTGGCCGTGGTCTACTCGTCCGCCCGGGTCTTCTGGACTCTGGCGCGGCCCGACTCCACGCGGAGCCAGCGGCGGCGGAAGACCGTGCGCCTCCTGCTGGCCAACCTGGTCATCTTCCTGCTGTGCTTCGTGCCCTACAACGCCACGCTGGCGGTCTACGGGCTGCTGCGGGGCCACCTGGCTGAGGCCAGCACCACAGCCCCCGACCAGGCGCGCCAGGGGCTGATGGTCAGG